TGAACTCGTCAAGTTCAGGGTCTGCTCCCTATGCATGTAGATGTATCTCGCTTGCAAATATCGCTCCCCTCGTTGCATCTCATCTAACAGACCATGGTATCTCCGGAGGCGCTCCAACCTTTGAACCAAGAAGCCAAGAAATCAAGGAGCTTTTAGTACCCAGAAAAAGAAAAAAAGAACCAAACAAATTAATTAACTTTGCCAATATCTTTACATGCTTTCCCATGAAATTATGGAGATTTTCGACATAATTAACAAGTCAACAAAGAAGATCACGTTGACAAGTTTTGTCTCAAAACGACAACCATACCAAGAGTCCCGGATCTTTAGAAACAAAAGAAAAATTTTCCCTCATAAAAACATGCAATTAGAAGGTCAAGAGTCAGGTCCGATAACCCTCCTCACGTTGCACCTCAAAGCTCAAAACTGCGGTAGACCATTTAAGAACCAAAAAGGAAAAAAAAAATTGTTTTTCAAAAGAAAAAAGGAAGTGATCCCTTTCGTTCCAGCTCAGCTGTGTTTGTAGCCAGAAAACAAAAAGAGGGAGCCGCGTATATGGGTTAATCACCTTCTGACAATCGATGTACGCACGGAGCAAACGAGGATAACAAGGGTGGGAGGCGATTTTAGCCTTGATGGCGGCGGAGACGTCATCTTCAATGGAGGCACCATCGGAGGAAATCGCGGAGGGGGTGGCGGATAGCAAGTATTCGGATCCAAAAACAGGAAAGCGATCGTCAGAGGAGCAAAGCAAGGCCTGGTAATCGGAAGGCAAGATGAGAGAGTCAGGTGACATGAGGAAACTGGGCTTGTCGGAGTAGTCTCCCGTTGAATGGTAACCGTACATTCCATCCATGATGATGAGACGATGAAATATACTGGAAAAAGCTGTGGTTATAACAATGATTATGTATGGATTAAAGTAAATAAAACCGGGGTTTAATTTGCAGTAGCAGAGTGTTAGTGTTAGTTGCAGTAGAAGGAGAGAGAAGGGATTTGCTGGAAATGGAGAAGCAGAGGAGAACTGGAAGTGGTGTTGGGGACTGTGAGTTTTTTGACGAAAATAATCCACGGCAGATGCTCAATTTTCACTCATAATAACTTTCTTGGTATTCTTATTTTTATAATAAAAATACAAATTTACTTAAAAATAAAATAAAATTGTTATTAAAAATTCATATTATTATTTTGGAAAAACTTTATTTTTAAAGTTATTTATATATCTAAAAATGTACTTTCATATTTTTCTTTTACGGAAACATCTTATGTGGGAATGCCCAAACCGAGACGAAAGCAAAAAATAATTTAATGGTTTAGATAAATTCTTTGAAAGGAAAAAAAAAATAAAAAAAAATAATTTTAAACATTTAAAAAAATCAGTGCGCTTTTTATTATTAAAAAAAAAAAAAAAAAAAAGAGGTAATGCTGTCGTGTTAATCCAAAATACATGATCAACGTGATTAAATTAAATTCATAACCATAATTAGAAGGGTAATTTGAGGACAATCATGATCACTAATTACCCATAATTAATAACAAAGCATATAAAGATCCTACAAGGGTATAAAAGAAAAAGGAATAGGGAATATACATTCTTAAATAAATATAAGAAGAAAATTAAAATATAGACATTCAGCCATAATAAATTGAATAATCAATTTTTTCAATATTAAAGAAAATTTGCAACAAAAAAAAAAAAAAAGTAATACACACACACACACACATCATATATAATGTAACAATGACATATTTTTTGGAAACGATAATTAATTGTATATAATCATAGCCATCGATTGTGGAAGTTCTCAATTTTATAAATTGTGTGTACGTACGATGGTCGTGAGGAATATTAATTACACTATCTGAGTAAAGAAATTTAGTAAGTGTATATTTAATTTACTATAATTTATATATATATATATATTAACTTTTATATTCAGTTAGTTGTTTTTTTATGAATAAATAGGAATTAAAATTTTATAATCTCTTGGAATTATTGTACTAATTTACTCTTGTTTTATATGAGTTTATTTTTAACTTCAGTAAATTATTTGTTTGCAAGATGTTTAAAACATTTCAATACATAGTTTTATGCTAGCTGGAATTGAGATTAAGACAAATGCGATCGTAGAAATTGAGTTTCAGATACTAAAAATTACTCTAAATTAACCTACATCTATTAATGTGTATTTAATATATATTATTATAAATATATATATATATATATAAAAGATTGTAAATTATTGTATTCAATTATTATAAAATGAAAAAATGAGAAATTGTGAATGGTGATAAAATAATAATATAATGACAGAATGCTATAAAATCTGGTCTAATTCTTAAAAAAAAAATATTAAATGATATAAAAGATTGTGAAATTTCAACATATCATCATAAGTTCGGATAGCTAATTCAATTTTAAAATCAAAATTAAGAGTTGGGTTTAGATTTGTAAAAATCATATGAAAACTTTACTAATTGTCAATGTAATAATTATAATTATTTTTATAAATAAATTTTTTTATCATTATATAAAATAAGATAACAAAAATATTATAAAGAATATATATAACGACTTTATAATCAAAATAAAAAAATGAGATAAAAAAATAAACTTACTCGTTTTTAAAGTTTCGTCATCTTCTAAAATCTTTGTTTATAAAAAAGTTTTTATTGAACATCTTTCACCCAACAAATAAAAGATTTATATCTATAAATACAAGCAATTTATATTTAAATTCACAATAAATTTTCTTATAAGTTGGATAATCTCCACAATATGGTAAACTTATCAATATTTTTCTTTTTAAATTATTACAAAATGGTTATAGGCGATAAACAATAATTTTTTGTCGTTTCTTCAATTTATTGTTTTTTTTTTCCCTATTGAGAATCAATTATGTTTATAATCAATCTGAGTAACATCTTTAATGAAATCGAATTAGATATTTTTTTATAAATAAAAATAAGAATTCATATTGTGAAACACAATCTCTATCTAATTATTTGTAAATGAAACATATGAAATCTATTTTGTAGAGTAGATATTTAAAAATATATTTATTTAATTATACGAGATACAAATTATTGATACCATAGTAAAAACTATTTTT